GGTAGAAAAAGGGTTACCTCAGGGTGAGGTGTGAGCAGTGGTGCACTTGGCGGCAATTCATTCATATTCAACACGCTGGGTTCAGGCCCAGGAGGAGCACTGCTCATTACTGGCGTATAGTTCTGAGGACACACAGTATCTTGTTAAGTTAATTTGTGTGGATACTTCAATGCAAGCAACTTTGAAAGACGGTAACAATGATTAAATCATATAAATGTATGTTATTATTAAAAAAAATAGAAAGAAACATTTAATAGGTAGTTCACCCAAAAATGAAAATACTGTCTTCATTTACTCACCCTCAAGTTGTTTCAAACCTGTATGAGTTTCTTTCTTCGGTTCAACACAAAAATAATATTTTGATAGTTGACAGTAGCCATTGACTCCCATAGTATTCTTTTCCATACTATAGAAGTCAGTGACTACTGTCAGTTGTTTGCTAACCAACATAGTTCAAAATATCTTCTTTTGTGTTCAGCAGAAGAAAGAAACACATGTTTGGAACAACTTGTAGGTGAACAAATGTCAGAATTGTCAATCTCTTTAACTTTGTGTTGCCCCTTTCAGAGCAATTAATGCATTTGAATTTCATTTGATCCTTTACATATTTGCTTGCTATCTTTGATGACAAATAAGCACATAGAAATATAAACCCACAGGATGAAAAGCAAAGAGATTTGCAAAAGATTTTGGATGTACCACAGGTGCAGATGGGTTGTAGTGGGTTGGAGGGGCATTCCACTGGGGCGGCTGAGCAGGGGGAAGTCCAGGTCCAAAGGCAGGAGGGTAGACAGGGTTTTGATACTCAGGATAAAAGCCCTTAAAAAGCAAAATTGCACAAAATTGATTTTATTTTTTTTTACAGTTAAACTTAAATAAATAAACTCTGTACTGGTTTATTAAGTTTTGCATGTCTTTACTGGTCCACCAGCTAAAATCCAAACCAGAATTCATGTTCGTCTTGGGAACCGTGCACACATAACATGTTTAGACCTTTCCACTGCTTGCTTTTATATAGTTTTTCTTTGTAAACATGCATTAGATGGACGCCTTTGTGAGTTGCTCTCGCATCTAGCACCGTTTACAGCAACTCACGCATGACATAGTGTTCCAAAATCATGGCGCTCGAATTAACTCTGCATTATTTTCACATTCTGCTGCACTAGAGCTATTTAAGCAATTTGGAACTTGTATTCAAAAGTTTTGAAAGTTGCTGCCACCTTAGGATGAACTTCTTGTGTTGTAACATTCCTTATTTGTCACTTTGGATAGAAGGATCTGTGGTAAATCTCTGTATGTAAACTTACAGGGTTGGGAGGAACAGCAGGTTGTCCGCTCGACTCTGGTGGATAAGGATAGTGAATCTGACCTTGATCTGGATGAGGCGGATAACCAGCGATGTAGCCCTTTAGTCAGAAACAACAAACCATTAATATTACTTACAATGTACACCAGCTACAATCACTAGATTATTCTAATGTCGCTTAGCATGGTTCTGTCACAAAGAGTTAAAAAGTGTTTTTTTTTTTGTTATGTATTGATTTTGTTTGCCTTTTTTGTTTATAGGATAGTGGAGAATGGACAGGAAAGTGTAGGGAGAGAGACAGACTCTTCACATTTATTTTACCTGGCCAGTGTCTCCAGGACCTACAGGATCAGACATAGTGTTGCTGCAAGGTATAGACACTGGTACGGTGTTGGGCTGCCCTGTGTTTGTGTCTGATTTAGTGGACCGGCACCTTTTGCAGATTCTCTTTCTGCAGCAGAAGCAGATTCCACCAGGAATGCCGAGCAGCAGCAGAGCTATAAGACCTTTTTTGATGACATACTCATGATCTACATAGATATTTGAAGAGACAAGAGAAGAACAGACATCAAGAGATGTACTAATGCATGTGGTGACCCAAATCTCTCAAATAAAATCAGCAAAACACAGCCATACAAACAAACATTTTTTGAATAATCACTACCATTCAAATGTTTGGGGTCGGTAAGATTTTTTTCTTGTTTTTCAAGTCATCTCTGACATTCACCAAGGCTGCATTTAAAAAAAATAAAAAATACAGCCATTACACCAGCTTTCAGTGTCATGTGATTCTTCATATATCATTCTAATATGCTGACTTTAATACTGATTTGAAATATTTCTTATTATTATCACTGCTAAATATTCTTTGTGGAAAGCGTGATACATTTTTTCAGCATTCTTTGATAGAAAAATGTCAGAACAGCATTTATTTGAAATAGAAATCTTTTGAAACATTATAAATGTGTTTTGATAAATTGAAACAGTCACTTTTGATCAATTTAATGCATCCTTGCTGAATAAATGTGTTGATTTATTTTTTT